TCCCTTCCAGCCTGAATGATACTATGATACTGTGAAATAATATGACTGAGGACTGCATGGCAAATATTTCTTCACATGTGCAGCAGGATGTGTGCTGTGTCCTTTCTGTTCAGTAAACAGACAACATGAGCTTTAGCAGTACTTGCAGTTCCAAATGTCCCTAATTTTGGACAAGGGGGTGGCTGTATTAGAAGTTCTAATTTAGCAAACAGTGACTTCATTGAGACTTAAGTGCAAAAGAGATGCTAGAGCCCTGACATGTAAGTAAGAGTGAAATTTCAATGGCTTATGTGGCTTTTGATCAAACTTTTAGTGCCTGAATTATGTGGTAAGCACACCCATTGACTTCAAAGATAAAAGTTGGATGCCTCAAACACAAAGTTCAAAGAACTCGCAAGCTGTAATGACAGATCTTCTTTAGTTAGCACCTTACTCAATTGTGTCTAGATTTTATTCTTCACCTTGAAATATTATATCAATAGGCAAGCTATACACAATATGGAAATACATATTAGATTCATTTTTAAAAAACGGACGTATACAGCTTAAGTTAAAAAACTCCAGGCCTTTACAAACATTCAAGGATGGCTTCAGCACGTAATGCAAGATCTTGCTGTAGACACAGGAGTATTTTCTATTCCTTTCACAAAACATAGTATACAAATCTTTAATACTAGATGCACTGCATGACATAGTACTGCATGATTTCTGAGAAGATATGAACTCAGAGTCTTAACAGTGAAATAGCACTTAGTCTTTGGCACTTTCATGTAGAGTTGCAGCTGAGAGAGAAATTTAGTATCGCTAATTTTACCTTGAACATAAATAAACGTTTAAGAGTTACATGTTTTCCGGAAAGAAAGGAGTAAACTTCAAGCTGTTTTGATAACATGAATATAAGATAAAAAATACATATTTTCCATGAGAGGCAGTCAGTCATTAAATTATCCCATAGATAGTGCATTAGCAAACTAATCTGTAATCAAGAAGGTATATCCCTCAAGTAACAATGATGTGCCACCACGACTTCTTAAGATGACTTTCTACTAGTATCAAGACCATATGATTTTCAGAGAATAAATCACATCCTGGATTGAGAGTCAATCCTGAAATTACTTGACTAAAATTCTTAGTTTCAACACAGCTCTTGAAGAAAAAGCTGAATCTACACTAACAGTGAGAAACAGGCAACAGAAAACTTCTAAGGTACACATAATGCAATGGATATCACATTATTTTTCCTCAGTGTTTCAATTCTTTCATTTTGTAGACCTAACCAAATATGAAGACATTAAAATACAATCTCTGAGCTCAAAGCCACTTCCAAATCTGCCAAGTATAAAACTGTTACTGAGCCACTCTGTTCTGTTTATCATATTAAGATACATTTTTTTGATGAAAAAATGCTAGATTGCAAGTGTAACATAATAGAACCAGCAAGCACTGCCAGCAGGTCTGAGGAAGAGAAAATAATTCAGAGATATTGTCATCTGTAGTCCAATTTATATTGTCAGACAGCAGGTTCACATTAGTCTCTGATGTCACTGCAATAATGGCATAATATAACGATTGAGCAAAGAATACCTGTGGGGTATAGCTATATGGTGCGGTATATCTATACTTGTTAAAGTATTTCAGGATTCATTCAAAGCAGAATCAGAAGAAGCAAAAGACCAGGATTAAAAGAAGAGTGAGAAAATGGTGTTCATAAAGGCTTCTGAATATTTTAGCCCTTGTTTTCTGATGATGAAGTAAGCACAATGTTGTATTTCATTGATTCAGTGTGTTCATGATTAAAATAAACTAATGCAGCAATTTAGGGGTTTTGTGCTTCCTTTTTTTTTTTCCCCTCTAACAAGAAAAAAAGCTTTTTAACAGTTTCTCGCGGCAGGCATAATGTGCATCTGTGCTCTGATTTACTGCACATGCTGCCTTCTCTAGCATCATGTTAAGTTAGGGTATCAGCATGGTAGGTCACACAGTGGGAGTGACCTTTTGCTAATCACTACACATCAGTTACTACTGGCACACAGCTCATTACTAAGAAACCCTCCAACTAGCTGGCTTTCAAATCCGCTCGCACTTTGATTTTTTTTTTCCTTTCTTTCTTTTTTTTCTCCAGACTAAAGATTATACTTTTACATAAAATCTTCTGTTTTGTAATTTTGTCAACTGGGGTTCCAAATTCAAAAAGGTGCCCAGTTAATTTTCCATGATTACAAAAGGAGCTTGAAAATTCATACTGAAGGTAGGCCTGTAATCTTGGGTTTCATTAAAAAGGTCAGAGCATTTTTAGTCACTACCTATTATTAAAATGTTTGAGGGCTGCCATTAATGTGATTTTTCAGGACACAGAAATCTCACTGGAAATTAGAATGTAATCCTGCTGTTGCTTTATTGACACTATCCATAGGGTAGGATACGGCTGCAGGGACTAAGAGTTCTCCTGCAATTTACAATTGGTTACTCTGGACAAATGGCAGGTGAGTAATGCAAGACAAACTGTTTGCACAACCTGGGAGCACTGGGTTTAATTTCAGTTTCTGAAAGAGGAGAGAAAGTGTTTCTATTGATGTTGAACTGCGAGCTGTCCCCTGCCAATACATCTGCCACACTTAACACACAACATGCCCCCCCGGCCCCGACAATGTGATTATTAGAAGTACAGAATTCAATAGCATAAGAATACAAAACATAGCTGGAGCCAAACGAAATGGTTTTTAACTTACCGGCCATTTGCTGAATGCCGCTGAAGGCACCCAAGTTACTGGAGGAAGTCGCTTGCTGCAGAAGCTGCAAATTAACAACACAACACAGCAATCTATCTGACAATAATGTAACAAATGAAGATAAAACTAAAATGAGCTATCATTTCACATTTGGAGTATTTGTGCTTTCCTTTACATTTATTTAGTCTCTTGGTTCTGTCTATTGTTGGAATGAACATCCCTAGAGTCAATGCTGTAAATCCATATTAATGTCTAATCTCTATTAAGAAACACAGAGACACAAGGGAAACTCAATAACATGGCTGCTTTAAAACAATTAATCAATTTATTCTTTTTAACAACCAGGTGTTAAATCTATTTAAACCAACATAGCGTGACTAATTACAACCCTCTGTAGTCTAGTAGTTACCATAACTCATCTCTGTCAATCATGGTCCATTCCCCCCACTCACTTGAATTCAGTTTTTTCTTTATTATCTTTATGAATCAAGCACACAGATACTCATTAGACTGGTATTTGTATACAACAATTTAGCCTACCTCAGTACTAATATATATTTTTAATTGCCAGGTAAATTGCTGTTTATAATTACAGCACCATACAAAAGTATTGTGTGCATACAAATTATGTATTTATGCATACACAGTACATATATAGGGACACATCTATTTGTCTAACTCAGGACCATCAGGAACTCCCAAGTGATCCAAAAGCTGCTCAACCAGACCTCTCATCTCCAGAGCCACAAAAGGCAGAGGTTCCCTCTCAGCTGTGCTGCAGGGAAGTCTCTCTTGGCCATCCAGGACCTAAGATATGTGGCTGTGGATTTCAGATTTCTCCAACAGAGGCAGCAGCTAACGTCTCTTTCTCATCTTACAAATGGACCAAGGAAAATACAATTTTAAATTTATGAGAAACAAATGGCTTTCCCCTGCTGCCTTCGCTTTCTGTACGAGGTAGTATGAACCACACATGTTTAGCATTGACAGGACCACACATTAAAGTGAAAGCCATTTCTGAATGACAATGTGGAAAATTAGAGGATTGAACCACAACATTCTACTTTAGAGGCTGCATCATATAGATATGGCCCCTACAGCTGCCTATCTGTCCTCCCCTAAGGAAGAACTTAAATTTTATTCCAGCTATAAAAAACAGACTCCAACATTCAAAAGAACAATAAAACTAATGGAATCAAATTTTATTTTGCAGCACAAATAAACTTTAAATGTTTGCCTTGGACAGCAGTGACACATCTTGAAATGTTTATTCAAATTCTATTCCTTGTTACTTATTTTCAGACCATGTGATAAACACACAGAGTTTTTTATATAGAAGAAGACATGCTACGTATCCTGGAGGACTTAGCAATTTATTGCAGGGAGTTTACTACAGTTGATTTACCATGGTTCTAAAATAAATACAGTATAACACAGCCGCCACCTCTGAAATGAACTTACAGCTAGGTATTGTGGTGTGAGTCCTCCAAGACCTGTGAGGTTTCCCCATGTGGCAGTATTGAGCTGTTGCATCTGCTGTGCCAACTGCTGCTGCAAACGCCGCTGCTCCTTGTCCTTTTGGGTATCGGCAAACTTCACCACGATTGGCGAAGAGCAGCCCTGTGGTTAGACAGATTGGGAAAGACAGAGGCGTTAAATCACACCAAGTCACCCTCGCATCATGAGCTCAGCCATGTCCGATAGGACCACCGGCAAAGGCATGACCTGATCGCTCACCCTCTCTTTGTGACTGGCATATGTAGGAATGCAAGGACTAAGATTTTCAGCTCCTTAGGAAAACACACTATGGAGAAATTATTGATTCCCCAGTTCTTTTTATAAAGCACCTTTCCTCAGGCTCTCTTTCACTTCCAGCTATCAAACTTGCTGCCAGAGACAGTGAAGTGTACCAGTCCTCTTTAATTAAGCTTCACAGCTGATGAGATGGACGTGACGCTTTATCTGCAGTCTGTTTTCAAGGCATCGCCAAAGGGAGAGGTGTCCAACCTCCCTGCTGCCAGGGACCACAGAGCCAACATCGCCCTGCCACCACAGTCTGGCTGCGCGGTCACGCTTGGTGCAGCTGGCTTGCGTACCCTACATAAATAGACTGTGAGCAACAGATTTACTTCAGCGTCCATCATCAGAGGGTCACTGGTCCTTTTCATTTCAAGGACCCTCAGTCCCAAGTGAGCACAAAGGGTGACGCTGCTAGGACAATTCACCCACCTGCGGTCCGCTCCCAGGCACGCTTTGTATCAAGCACCCTTGAGATGTGAACAAATGGCAGGATGCAGACCAAAAGTGACTAGTTCTGGTGATAGCATCCCATTCCTGATTGCCACCTATTGCTTCTATAAGCCTCTTGTTACATGATACGGCAGGGCTGTAAGATGCCTTTGGAAACAGGGAAACTGTAAGAAAGAACTAGAGATCTGGTCTGCAGCCTACTCCTCACCCATGTCTGAGGGACCCTTGAGAAGATGTAGGAGGTCATGGACCAGATGAACTTTTGAGGTAAGCTGGATATTTCCTTTGGACTTCAGGATGGGTATTCCTGGGAAAACTCACTGAGAGAACGATATATGTGAATATGAAAGATGCCTCTGTTGCTTTCACTCTATTTTTTTTCCCTGCTAACAAATTTTTCATATTTTAACCTTTCAAGTCTTCATTTTTTCAAATCAAGGGAGCAAACTATATACTGCAATGATTCAGTTCTTCAAATTAATTCAAGTATTTTGTGAGTCATAGAAACTGTCAATCCATTTCACTGTTTTCCAACTTCATAGGATCCAATTAATAACTTCCCTCCACCCGCCACGCTTTGTTACACTAATTTCTTGTGTACCTTCAATCTGAACAGAATGCTAGGAGAGAAAGGTGACTCAAGTCCAAAAAACACAACAGTGCTTTAGCCAAAGTGTATAGCGTGGGATGTGGAGCAGGGTTATACTTAACCTAACTCTTCCTATTGCTGCTCTCACAACACTGTGAACATCTTCAGAAAAGTTCCTGTCCTCTATGATTTACAAAAAGCAGTTGTGTACCTTTTCTCTGAAGAACTTCACCCCAGGACAAATGATAAGAATATTCACAATCAACAGACGAAAGGATGAAATAAACCACAATAATAATATGTCTTGTATGAAGAGCTCATGTCAATACTGTTCCTTTAGAATTATCTTAGAAAATCATCACTTGTGATTTATTATTCCACCTCCAACTCCCTTACTGTGTTTCATTGTAAAAATGTCTTTCAATGTTCCAATGAGGAAGAAAGGAGATATGTAGCACTCTAGCAATCAAATAAAGATTATGGAGGAGTTAGCTTGTTACACAATTACCTCTCTCTAGTGATTTTATACTATTATTAAAAACAAGACCTTTTTTAAAAAAGAAAAAAGAGCCAGGGGGTGGAGGGTGTGAGAGAGATTTTTCTGGTTTCGCTAACAAAAAAAGTAAGCTGTTTCTGTTTAATACGAGGTTTGGTAGCATTGGGCTAAGGACAAACAGAACTTGCTGCCTTCTACTTAGATGTACAGGAGAATCAAGTCTATTTCCAAAGAAATAGAAATGAATTTCAAAGGAAGAAATATTATATGGCTATTTCACTTCTCAGTTCAGCAGCTCAGCTCTCAACACTACAGCTGACATCATATTTATGAATGCTTAAATGTCAGTAAATTGTATAAAAACAATATCTCGGCAATTTATGAATCTATAATTTATTTTTTCACTGTCTGCTCTATATTTCATCACTTCATCATTTTCAAGAGAGCAAACATTCTGAAGACTGAAATTATATGTAGCAAGTGGCTCTATATGAGAAAAGGGTTGTTATTGTTGCATCAAATTTACTCCATGATATCAAATTAGTGTCTTCTACTGGTGCTGCATTTGAATGCCTTAAACAAACAAACAAAAATCCACGGAAATGACATAGAAGAGCAAAAACTCTAGAGCAATAATTATGGTTTTAAAATCAGTTGATTTAACCAGGTCAGAAAGTCAGGTGGAAAGAGTAGTAAGAGAATTCATTATTCTATGAGACGTGTTCATCTGGACTTATCATCCCCACTGTTCTTTCTTAGCACACTTTGAAAACTCATCTTGGTCAATGGTGCATGCTAAAGAACTGAAAAAAATGAAATCAGAAAAAAAATTCTGCAGTAATTGGGTTGAAATGTAATTGTGTACTACCTATCATCCCCCAAGCCCACTTTTGGTTGAAAAAAAAACATGAAACAAGTGTGTTGAAGGACCACTGTTTCAGGCTGAGAGTTGAGACTTAACACTAGGTAACCCAAGTTAACTTTTTACTAGAAGAGTATTGGCAAAAGCAAGTAAATTTTTTTCTGCTTAAAGAGTGATTTCTGGTTTATGCTCTTCCATTTTCTATCTTGAGAGGAAGCTCCCAGCACAGACACAAGGTGCATCTCCCTTCCTCATTGAATGATGGTTTGGTATCTCCACACCATTTAGTGCTATTTTCTTCCCAATAGTTGGTGCTGCCTTCATATTTTTCTTTGTCAAGACAGTAGGTACAGACTCCGTTGAGTCCCTCACCCATGGAGCTGGAGGGTGTACTGCTTCTCTCCAAGAAGGGACTCTCAGCCTAAGCTCAACTGACTCAAAGACCCAGATGTTCAAAGTGCAAAATACTTGGAATTGCCTTGACAATTTGGGGATCCCACTGATGACGTCTCTAAAGGTGTTGAGAAGTATTTTGATCCAAGAGTAACTATTTTATAGAACTAATGTCAACAGAAGTATCACATCAAAACGCAGCCTCTTGTGGAGTACTGCATACAACAGAAGAATGGAAGAATTTGTCTGGGAGGTATTATCTCTTTAATTTTACCATCTTCTGAAGTAGAGCTGTGTAAAATTCATTTTGCTAGACAGAAAAATACATTAAAACACATGGAAAATATAGGTAAAACACAATAGTACCAATAAACATTTCCTTTTTACTTGGAATCAAACCCAGCAAAACATACACATCTGAATTAATGGAGCAGTGCATGGCAGACAAACTACTACGAGTATTATTTCAGAGATTCAAAGTGGCAGTTTTTTTACAATATACTGTCAGACTGCATAGATTGTATAGCAGCAGCTTTCTAGTAAAGATCATTTCAATTATTCTCATCTCATTGGTAGATTCTCATCTAAAACTGTATACTCAGGGTCTAAAAATGCATTGCACTGAAAAGAAAACACATGGTTTATAAAAGAAGCTCAACCAAATTCAAACGTGATGTTTGGAAAGACAATAGCTTTGCAATGCTGATATCATTACTTGTAGTATACAGGAAACAGTGACATTTTCATGCACTGGCTTGATTTTTATCTTCTCCTTCTTCTTCTCCTCTGTCCACCCTCCCACCCCTGGTCTCCCCCCTTGGCTCGTTACACAAAGCAGCTCAACGACATGACGCAATAATGATTGTTTAGCACCCAGCATGCTTTGGGAGACTAGAGCATTGCAAAGAAAAATCACTGATAAAAAAAAATCGAAAGGTCCTGGTGGAAAAATAAATAAAAAAAGAAACAAGTGCACATAACATCAATGCCACCTCTGAGAAAAATCATCACTACACGAAGATACAGTATACATAATACAGTATAACATGCACTCTCCAATGATAAGCTAGAAGATCCAGAGTAAGTAAAGACTTCATACTTGTGCGGTTTTTTGTGCAAAATTCTGAAAGACCATGACAAAAATCACAGACTGAAAAAAGTTTTGAGATTGCCAGACAAGCCGTGGCACTTGATAACCACTCCAATGAACGGATCGTTAGCCTGCAGCGATATTTACATGAAGCGAACAGGTTTAAAGTTTTGTGTTGTTCATCAAGATAAAATACGAGGCCGTAGAGGCAGTTTGGAAGGAAATAAAGCACATGGCTTGTGAGGGGCCAGCCATGACAGTGCTCTGCAGGAAGTGCCACACTTTGATATGCTCTGTCATCATTAGCATTTTTATTGGCTACATGAAGAAGCAGAAATTATATTAACTTAAAAAGAGATTCTATTTGCAGAAAAACACATGCACTAGTAACTCAGCGTGGCCAGGTTAAATCTCTGGAGCTTTTTTCTCAGAGCAGTGCGAACCACAAAACTTAAAAATCTATTTAAAAGAAACAAAGATTTTTCTTTGGGGCTGTGTGTTAAAGGTAATTTCCTCATCAGATATACTCTGAGTACGACTGAGGAGCGGTATTCACAACATTATTATTTTCTGCTGAATGCCACTGAGAACAAGATCAAGAGCCGTGTTTGGATACCACACAGCAACCTTATTGTGTCCTTTCGGGTCATTAAGAAAAATAAGCTTCACAAAGACAGGTAGAGTGAGTTGGTAAAAAGTTTAAATCTGTGATTGTCATGTGTCTGATCTGATCCAGGAGAGCATGGCTTTACCATTCGCAATCATTTGCACAAAGAAAACAAAGAAAGGGCAAATGATACAGTACTGTACCTCCATGGTCTGAGACTGGTGCATGGCTTTGATTGCATTCTGTGCCATTGCCCTTGTAGAAAATGTGACAAACGCACAGCCTGTGGGAACAAGGGGACAGGGAGCAGGAAAGACAAAAAACAACAAGACAAAAGGGTTGGACGCTTGTTAAACCAACACAGTCTACGAGAACGGCCACAAGACGACACTGTTCTCAGTAGTACATAAAAATAAACAACTTCTCTAAGTTTATTTATCGACAGTGCTGACTTGCTAATCTGACCATAGATGAAAGAAAAAAAATTAGGTGGGGACGGGTGAGGAGAAAGGGTTTTTTCCTTTGATTTTTTTCCCCATTTTTTTTCTTTGTTGTTTTTGTTCTTTAGCCACAGGGTTTGAAATAAGTAAGGCTTTTATGTAGACTTTGGATTGCATAGTTTAGGCTATTCAGACCATGCATTAACAATTGCTTGCTATGGCTTTTGTGCAGGTAAATTGTGGATAGTGAATAAATAACTAGCATCACTGGCAGCTGAACTGTGAATTTAATAAAGGAGTCCATAATGTCACGTATTTCCGTGATGCACCAAGAACAACCATACAAATAAGGATGCGAAAAACTCCACTGTGTAGGCTGCAACTAAGTGTGAAAAGACTCAGACAAAATTCAGTAATGTAGGTGGAATCTCAACATTTAAGAAAATAACATCTTAAAATAAAAATCTGTATGATTTTTGTTTCTCCGAGTCCTAGGTACAATTCTTTGATCTACGAAAGCTGTCACCAACTTGAACAATTCTCAAGCTATGTGCATGAATAACTGAAAAATCACTTTTTTCCCTCCTTAGCCTTTTAAATTGTAATGAAAAGCCAGTAGGCTAATGCCTGGGCTATTTTTCCACCCTTTTACCATTGTCGGTCATACCTACACTGGGCATGGCACAGGGCAACTTTTTTAGTGCATGACTCACTGCCCTTTTGACTAACAAAAACATTGCCTTCTGAGATTTACATTTTATTCTTCATGCACCCTTGGGCATCTTAAAGAAAAAGACTGTGAAATTAATGCAGATTCAGGCTGATTTTGTAATAATACCATGGCACACTAAAAGCTTAGCTAAAGCAACACAGACTTATTTCACTTGTGATCTCTAATGACTTTAAAAGTGCATTGATTTTCAGCTCCCTTAGCCTTGCACAGTTTGAACTTCAGTTTCAGAGAATAATTTAGTGTTCCACTCAATTTCCTCAAAACATTATTATTATTACTACTTAAAAGATTTCCAAATGAAGCAAATCTAAGCACTGAGAGGCTAAAGCATATTGTCAGTTTAGAGCTAATGCATGAAAGCTACATTCTGGCATCAAAAATACAGTATTGTTGCCCCTGTGGCCAATGGGCAAAATAAACCATTTTGCAATCCAACAAGCAACAGATTGTTTGGTTTATGCAAATAATTTGAGGCATAAAATACCTTTTCTTTTTTGCTCTGTGTGTACCTGGTAAGATTATCAAGTCAAGACTGTATTCACATTTTAATCAAACAACAGTAAGAGAAAGCAATGCCTAATCATTACCCAAAAGCACTACATCTAGTCATGAAAATAAAGTCAATGCATTTTTGCATCATGCGGTACTTTTTTTTTTCCTCTTTACGTAAAGGCCCTTGATACAAGACAACCTAAGCTGGCTTATGTACCTCTGATTGATAGGTGAGCATCATAAAATCAGAATTCTTCTAAGCAAACTTCATGGCAGTGTTGTGACTCTATGTATTTCTTAGGTAACATAACAGCTGATGAGGTCTTACTACTGTTTAGCCACACTATGTGTTGCTATACTATTCTTATTCAGCAACAAATTTCTGTCAAAGAAAATGACGTAACAAAACAGCTTTCTGTACAGCAATCTAGACAAAATGTGCAGTAGAATGGTAAATAAACTACAGTACCTCTGCTAGATTCCATATTGCTGCTGTGCACTAAAATTAAAGAGGCCCAAATTTACCATCAGTCTCAAAGTAATCTCTCTTAAAAACATTTCTGTTATTATCATTAACAGAGGAAATAACACCAAGGGTTTTCATTTCTTGTCTTGCAAATTCAATGGGGGATGAGCGCAAATAGAGATATACTGGAGGGCAGGCAAGAAACCCCATACAGAGCCTTGAATAATATTGTTTATAATGGTCAAGAAACCGCTTCATTCACTTCTTTCACTCTCATTATCCAGGAGTGTGTACCATAGTGACAATTACTGAATGGAGGTTTAGAATGCATAAGAAGCATGTAAAATGTCAACAAAAATCAATAAGACACAGTTTATGCATTTATCACAATTTCTACCCAGCAGTACTGCTGTAAGTAACTTACTGAGAGCTGTTGCAATTAGCAGGTCTCAAAAGAAATGTGAATCAACAGAGAAATAAAGCTGCACTCTTCTCAAGATAAAGCAGACTCTCCCTTCCCTTAAGCTTTTTGTCTTTTTAACCGCAAAGCTCAGCTGTTGGGGACTTTCAGTGCCCAGCACTACTCCAAAACCTGCCTCCTTGTTCCTCAGCTGAAATCCATTTGCGTGGATCCCGTTGCCTTTGTCGTGGAGCGAAAAGACCTTTGTAGCAGATCTCTGTAAAGTACCATATAGGGAACTACAAGTTTGAAAGAAACTTGTTCTTTGGGCAAAGCGAATGCCTGATGAATGAGGTTATGCAGCATTTGGAAACAGCATTCCACAGAGAAGACGGGACTGCATTTTAATTACGGTTTGCCAGCCAGAGGCTACAAGGTTAGGTCCCCTTGTTATCTGCAATCAGCAGGCCATTTCCCACCAATGGACAGTGGCCATTTGCACAGTAAACACCCAATTTGCCTCAATAACCATGGTAAAAATTCAGCAGACAACTTTATTTCTAAATTATTTGAAAAACTAGACCTTCAGTTGTTACCATCAAGCATCCTAATTAAATGCTAGCTAATTTAACCGTCTTTCCAGATATTGCTATATGTATTCACATTCAAGGGTTATTTTTTCAGCTTCCAAACCTGGACACTCACACACAGAATTTGTATATTTATTATGTGTGCACATATATTTCATTATGTGTGAACCATGGGATCCTTTCCTTCATGACCAGGCTGCCACACTGGAGGGGAGCTAAGTTTGTATCCTAGCAGTCAACTTAACTCAATCACAGAACTTGTGTATATAATTTAGGTATTCAGAAAAGCTGTTCTTCTGAGATGCTTGTATTCTCTGCCACAGTCAATGGCAGTACCTTTATTTTCCTATATAGGGTACATATGCACTTTAGGAGGATGGTTTCATTGGGCACCTAGAATTTAATCAGAAGTTGGTGGCTAAGGACACTGGATTTCACTTGTTTAAGCCAGATAAGCTCTGCCTGAACCATCCTGTACTTATGCCGCAGCAGTTTCTGAGGGGCTGGAAAAACCCTTTTCAGCATACTCTTGCTCACCATATCTCATGGATACAGGTGGTCTTTTGGGAACATACTGCCAGCTTCAGGACCATAAATCACAATTGTAAGAGGACAAGACTAATCAGATTTCATGCCTCATGGTGCAAGGAAACAAGAAAGACTTCCGTGGCCTCTTATCCTGTGAAACACTGCATTGATTGTAGTGCCATGAGCTGGGGTCTTCCAGACCAATAACTACAAGCAGACTATTTCTGTTCTACCATACTGAGTCCTGGTACTTCAATTACTCCCTTCTTACTGGAGCTATGGAGCTCTCTGGGAGAGAAAACGTGGAAAGGGGGATATTGCTATAGCTAATGCCTTGAAATTACTTTGTTTTGTACCACCAGCTACCTAAAAACAACAACAAAAATATCCTTTTGTAAATACAGCCAACCTGCAAGTCACCTTGCGCTTATTTATCACCTCTGGTTTCAAAATGTCAGGAATCACTAATAGAAACAAAAGGGAAGAGAGAAAGGAGGCCTAAGTGTTTTAGTTGTTTCTCCAGGGCTGCCTTCTCACCCCCTACACCAGATAAACGATTGACTGGCGAAAGGCTGCCTGAAGTAATTTCCTCCTGCAGGCAGCATCGGAGGGAGGCACCCAGCTCTGTCACAGAAGATATTTTGGAGCACACTGTCACATTTGCCATCTCGGCTGAGAGAACATCTAAACTCACAGGGTTGGTCCTTATCCCCCTCCCACCCCGAACTGAAAGAGAATTTTGAAGAAGCTGTGAAATTTGATAAGCTTCCTCCTTGACCCGTGCCATCCCAAACCTAGGGCTTGTTGCTTGAGTGACTGAATTATTTGAAATATTTAAAAAAGCTCAGCACTGCCCCGTTTCAGCTCCCACTTCACTCAATTCTTCTCATCTCAGGCTTTCATAGACTGTTTTGAAACAGTCAGTCAGCAGTTCATGCACAGTCTAACATAACATCAATATTTGCAAGTTGCAAGTGAAGTAGAACATTTTAAAGTATGGAACCCTCAATGTAAGGGGTCTGATATCACACCTACACAAGAAACCTCCCACATAAAACTACTGTGGTCTACCAGAGGTTTTTAAAGCCCTCAAACCCTCAGCGAAGCCAAAGGGAGATGCAAAACCTCTAGACATTTTTGAATCAGGCCTAGAGTTAAAAATGGAAGTTTAAAACCATGGCTTTAAAGTTCTGGAGATGAAAGAAAGGCAGATGTAATCAATTAAAAAAAAATATACAGTGACCCCTCTGACACAGAAGAAGGCTCAAGAAATTTTCAAAGTCATCCGAGCAATCACAGCACTACGTATGGTGGCTGCGCAGCTGGTGGTGTAATGGCTGCACTGAAGCTTCCTAGTTCACCATAAACAAGATTTTTTTTTCAACTTCTATGAAGAAACAATAGTGAAAAGCTGCCAAAATACTCCTGCAAGAAGTATTTGGGATCCTCTGAGATGAAAGCCTCTATTTAAAGAAAAGATAAGACTTGAATAAAAAGCTATGGAAATTGAAGCATGATAAAAATAAGCTCTGGTTGTGTTAAAATATTTCTAGCTGAGACTGCAAAGTAGACTTTCCCTTTTCTACACTGTACTAATATAGCCTGGGAAACAGCCTTCTAATGCAGATATCACA